AGCTCTATAAAGTCCTGGTGTGAAGGGTTTTATGAAGGTTTCTTTTCTTTCTTTCTTTTTTCAGGTTTACTGATGTTAGAAGTAGATGATGACAATTTTCAGTAAACATATAGTGTGATGTTTCCTAAACAGCCCCCCGAAACCCTGCCAGAAGGATAAAATTATGTTCCTGCAATGTTGCGTAAGACATGAAAGCAAATTTCTCCTCCTGAATGTTTTCAACCTCTTGCACATTTGGCCACCATTAACCATTTAAAAAGAAAAAAGAGAGAGAAAGAGAGAGAGAGAGAGAGCATTATGGATATTTGAAAGTCAACACTCCCAGTAATTTATTGTGCTTGCCATTTCACGCATCTCTTTATACAAAGACAATTTGAGCAACTGGCAGAATGAATGCTTACCCCACCCCCACCCCTTTCCCCTCCCCCACCCCACCAACCCCACTTGATGAGAACCATGGTGTACAGTTACTGTTTGACAAGTCAGGGTGGACTCTCGGATTATAATTACAGTTTCTCTGTGGAATTCTGTTTAGGACTTTGAAAACTATATAAATAAGTGAAAAAATTGACACTGAGAGAGGTTAACAAAACGTGTAATTATGATATAAGCACGGGATTAGAGCCATTTCGGTAGAGCATTACAAGCCGTGTACTTTAGGTATTAACTTTTAATAGGCAAGGTTCTCTTTATTGAAGTTGAAATGAGGTTTAGTCATTTGGGTCTCTTATTCTCTTTGAATATTTCACTTAAAAATAAGCATGCTCACATTTTCAGTGGGGAGGGAGGACTTGAGAAGTGAGGTGACATTTTAATAGAATATCATAACTGTTGTTTACAATATCAGTCTTTAGTACCAGCATTTCTTTTACTGATCATTTTCTACTGACTGAAGTCAAATAAAAAGAACATATAACCCAAGGAACTAGAATGTTCTAGAAAAATTCTCTGTAGGGTTAGTTACTTAGTTTCTTTTCTGATGTGGGTGTGGTTGAAAGAAAATCATTGTTCCGGGAACACTTTGTTTGTCTTTTGCTAAACAAATGTGCAATTTATCCATTCTTTGTTCATTCTTAGATTTATCTACTAGAGCTCTTGTGAAACAGAAAGGAGAAGACGGCATACCATTTATTGGTGGCCTTGCTTCATGTATCAGAGTATTTATGGGTATATGAAAGGAAAAAGGAGGAATGGGTTAGCTTTGGGATTTCAGTAAGAGTTTTTGAAGGGACTATTTGCCTTTATTTGTTTCTTATTGTACTGTTGCAAAATAAAACATGCCAGCTACTGAGCAGTTTAACATTCTTATGGCTGTGTCAGAAGGAAGCTGATTTAATGTGTAGGCTTAAGAAGCAGTTAGGGGATCATAGAATTTAAGATCTGCAAGCTCTTGTGAAGTCTCCCTTCCTTAATATTTTATATGCTCTTCGTGTCTCTCCTTTTCACTCTGCCTCCTCTCTCCTACCTAGCAGTCTCTATTAACTTCTACAAGGGTAGGATATTCTCTTGGGCTTTCTCTGGTTTTATAAATATGAAACGCAATCCCCCTGGGAATGTCTAATTACAAGGCTGGAAATTTGCCTACATCCAAACAATGACAAAATTCTGGTCCAAATGGGTGGTTCTGTCCATAAGCAACAGAGTTAGCAGAATTTTTGTTTTGGCTTTACCAAGGGTTGCCACATTAGACCAGACCCCCAGTTGTGCCTTTGACCTCTTGGTGTAGAAAGATTTTAATGAGAGAGAGAATGGGGGACAAGAGTATTAGGCTGGCAAATATAAGATACTGGCTTCCATCTCATGAGTAGAAAGTTGCTACATGAAAATCACAATGAGAGTTTAAATGTTTACAGGCCCTCAAGTCATATACTTGGAATAATTAACCAAATGGAATTATTAACCAGAGTGAAGTAATTCTGGCACATAGGAAGATGAAGTTATCACTTCCCTGGGAAAAAGAAGTCCTGGGTTTTACCCGACCAAAGCTTACTATTCACCCTAGTACTATAAATCAGTTACTGCTAATAACTTGATGCATTTTGTCATAATGCAAAGTTATTCAAACAAGAGTTTAAAGATTAAAAGGTTAGGTGATAGCCTCTTCCCATCACCTCCAATGTCATGGATACCCCTGCCTAGTCACTTGGGTGGCAACTCCAGTTTTTTCACCCCTATCTTGGGAAATATTCACAAATTGTAACATTTATAGGGTCTTCATGAGGAATAAAAGTTTCATTATTTCAAGAATTTTCTAAATGGTAATATTTTTCTTTCAGTACTGGAAACAGTGTTAGAGCTCTCGCTGTGCCTGGTTCTTTGTGGTTTTGGTCACAGTCTTGTGTGTTACCTTGTTTTAATTTGGTGTCTTCTGTGATATCTACCAACAATTACAAAAAAGAAACAGAGGCAGAAGAACTTAATCCCAGATATTTTTCCAAGCACTGTAGATTGGAGAAGAGTGTGTGTGTGTGTGTGTGTGTGTGTGTGTGTGTGTGTGTGTGTGTGTGGTACTATACATATTAATATATATGCATGTGTGTTATGTATGTTCTATGTTGGTACCATATAATGTGACTATAACAACATATGTCATACACAATGTACTACATTATAATAAAGTATGGTAACATGTATAATATACATTTTAAATACATAGCATATATTATGTATAAGTCATAAATACATATGTAGCATGTAAATATAAATCTTTTAGTTATTACCTATAATACAACTGTGCTTTAAATACATGTATTTTAAAACCCAAACTAAGTAACTCACTGTAAGTTTATGTGTAAAAAGAAAAAATATTCAGACTTGGAATTGCTTGCTTGGAAGTGTAGAGCTCAAGAAAGAGGCCGAGCGCTTGTTAAAAATATAAATTGCTGTATTCCCATCTTAGAAAATCTGAGTCAGTCATTTTGGGTGGTACCCTGAATCCAACCTTTTTCAGGCACCCCGTGAGATTTTGGACAGCATTCCCAAGACAACTCTGAGCAACCCTGTTCCCAGACATGGTGGGCATCCTTAGTACATCATTTGTGAAGTAGGAATAAACTGAATGCTTGTGCTCTTCCAATAACTACAAGGAGTCGGAAACTGTGAGGAGGGCAGAGTAGGTATTGGAAGCTAGGATGAGGTACAGAGAGCAAAAGGAGACTGTGTTTCAGCATAGGAGCTTTCAGAGAGATGACTCTATCCCAAACAGAGAATCAGAAAGAGGGAAGAATCATGAAAAAGCCTTTAATCTCAGGCAGGGGAGGCAGAGATAGGTGGATCTCTGTGAGTTCGAGGCCAGACTGGTCTACAACACGTGTTCCAGGACAGCTGGAACTATATGAAAAAGAAATGCTGTCTCAAAAACCAAACAACAACAACAAAAGTACTCAAAGAAATCGTGTGAATGAGGGGTAGGGGAATTGTGGCATTGATTGACCCTAGACGCAAGAGGCATCTCCCAAGTCACCAACCCTCTCGAATTCATGTCTTTAACAAATAAGGTGTAGAGATGAAAATAGGATTTGGTACCAATGGCAAATGGAGGTCACTCCTTGGAATAGCACACAGACCCTGGGGGCTTCTGGTAGTGTCTGGTGACTTATAATTTCTCAGGCTTTAACTTATCTGTAACAAATACATCTATAAATGAAGAGTTTGAACTTAGTATATTGGTCTACTGTAAGAATCTCACCTTGTTGTCATGGCCCACCTATCTGTGTCTCAGGACTAGTTTCCATTGGTATACTCCTCTCAATATAAACACACTGCCTTCTAAGTGTGCCAGCTGCTGAAGTGTCTGCCCACAAAGCAGGCAGGAGTCTAAGAAGTGTAAACCATTTGAACACAACATGCTAAAAGCAGCTGAGCATCTCCATTCATGGAGAAGTCTCCAGCCTGAAGAGCTAAGTGATTGTAATTAGAGCTACATCTGTGAGTGAGCCTCCTCTCTGCAAAGGTCACGTGTACACCTTGCATTAGTCCTGGTTGTGTTCCATCATTACACTCTATTCCAATTCATCTCCCACTGGTTACCAGATGGCCACAATAAAGTCAGTATCCTTAACAACTGCTTCATGCAGTTCTCTGAAGTACAGTAAGAGCTCCAAATAGTGTTTTCCCATTGGACATACAAGTGACAAATCTGGAATCTGCTGACCAGTATGCTGTGGGTGTGGGTCAAGAAACCCAAATTCTGTTTGGTGTGGTTGCAGGTAACAGATTACCAAAAGGGATATTTGACACTTCTTAAGCATAAGATAAAGGGAGGATTTGTCCATGTTGATTCTGGATTTTGCAACTATTCACAAAACATAATGGTTTAGCACCAGGCAGCATGATCATTTAAAACACTGTGGTCCGAGACATACTGGCTCTAAAGCAGCCACTGCTTATATCACCTTTCATTGGCCAAAAACAGATCCAGGGCCTCCTGGACTCCCAAAGGTGGGAAGTACAGCATTTTTCCAGGCCCATAAGGAGAACACAAGATATTTGTTGAGCCCCAGAACAGGTGGCATTACTCCTTAGATCTATGGAAGATTTTCTAGTGTCCAACCATGTGTGCATGGGTGTGAACACACACACACACACACACACACACAGATACACACACAATGTGTAATCAATCTAAACCAAGCAATAATTGTAAAGAAACTCATCAAAGTTTCCCTATCATGGTGACACCAATGGCTAAAAAAATATTGAAATCTCTGGAAGGAGTTTTGTTTGTTTGTTTGATTGCCCTCAAATAACTCAAGCATTACTTAGTTAATATGTATGACCATGGGGCTACAATGTGGTTATACTCAGAGGTGGCCTCAGGCTTTGAGGGTTGGTAGCTCAGTTGTGAAGGGGGAATGTGGAAGATTCTGGCATTGCCAGACCATGGTAAAGAGGAAGGCTTTGCTGAGGAAGACAAAAATGACTGTGGAAGTTGTCACGGCTGTGAATGTTCTCTTTGTTGGTGGGATGAGGGTAATGGACATGTTTTCTTTTCTGTCTAGGGGAAGATGAGGAAGAAACCAATGTGATTGTTCTCAGCTACCCTCAGTACTGTCGATACCGGTCCATGCTTAAACGGATCCAAGATAAGCCATCTTCCATCCTCACAGACCAGTTTGCATTAGCCCTGGGGGGCATCGCAATGGTCAGCAGGAACCCCCAGATCCTGTACTGTCGGGACACCTTTGATCACCCAACTCTCATAGAAAACGAGAGTATATGCGACGAGTTTGGTGAGTGTCTTTTCCTCTACTTGAGACTTGTTCATGTGAGTAGCCATTTTCAGTTCGTGACGTGAGGGGTGCTGGGAAGCAGGGCTCCATCCAGTCCCCTTATAACTGCAACACAAGGAGTTCTTATGTTCCTGGTAGCCACTGTTTACTACAGGTGAAAGATGATTATCTTGTGTTCCTTGATATATTTGGAAGGTACTTGGTGGACCTTGAAGGTGGACTTTGAGATTGAACACTTTTATATTCTCCATTAGAGGACTTTGGTTATTTAATTACCAGTTTTTAAATTTTCTAGTTTTATAAGGTACCATAAGAATACACAATTATAACTATTCAATATTGGAAGATAGACAGAGATGAAAGATTAATAGATGGAATGTTAGATGATAGTCTCTCTCGCTCTCGCTCTCTCTCTCTCTCTCTCACACACACACACACAAATTGTAGATGCACTTTGTGCTTTAAATTTTCATACATATGCCTAACCCTGGCCTAGCTGACTAGTCACATGTCTTCTGAACAGAGGGCTGTCAGACACCATATCTCACCTTTGGAATCCTTGCAATGTGCACTGTCAGTGAAAGCAAGCTAAGACTCTGCCATCTTATATTTTGCCTTCTATATCCATTTGGTGGAGAAATTGCATCATATCCTTGGTTCACCATTGACTGGGTGTTGCTATACAGACTGGGGTATAAATACCCTAACTTGTCTTGGAATCACCTTCATAGATAGTATGATGGTACCCTGTTCAATTCATCAGGAGGACCAAGGAAGAAAAGAGGTTGAGACTTGGCCTTGAAAATATATACATAGACTTTCTTCAAGCTGACGCCTTCCCTGATCCTGTTGGCTTACATTGTCCCCAGGGATACCTCATTTGCAGAATATTCAAATCCAGATTGTCCCAATTAGCTCTAAGATAGCTCTACATGGTTTTGCAAGTCTACAGTGGCCTCTCTAATTTGACACTGTGTGCCTTTGGGAGCTCTTAGGCCACTATAAAGGACTTTGTAAGTAGATGTGTGAACCGAAGAGAATCTATGGTAAAAGAATGGAATCTGATGGTCCAAGGAGACCAAAAAGGAGACAGGGGAAGGGGGACAACAAGATCTAAGCTCACTGGAGTCCAAAGGCAGCAGCATCTATATAAGAGTGGGTGTGTGCGTATGTAGGTGTGTACATGCTGGTTAGATTTTCCTTCTACACAGAAGTAAATATTGTCATATTTTTAATAGTCAAATAGCCTTTTCATTAGAGCAGATCAATGTATCCAATACAATTATTAAATGCCCTTTTCCTTTCAGATGAGCATTTACAGATCTACCTTCTTCATTACTTGAGAAAAAAATTCACTCACATTCCTTGCTCCCAAGTCCTGTGTCCTACTAGCTGACCAAAGAGTCTCTAAATTCCTAACACTGAATAAAGCTGAGAGAATGTTTTCCCCTACTTAAAAGTATTCAGAGTTAGTCTTTATTAATGTAATATAATGAAAGAAATGTCTTAACCTTTTTGGCTAATTTAGGAATTATTAGTCATTGAGTTTCAAAGTTGTTCTGTCTAGAGTTGGAAAAATAGACATTCCTAACCAATAATGATCAGTGTGGTTGCTGGAGCATTCCTAAAAGAATTTTAAATGTTCTTACAAACATGAGCATCTCCATGTGAATATGCCCCTGAACTTTCTTTTGGCATACCTCTTATTAATTCCGTCTTTCTTCTCCAGCCTCTGAAAGTAGAAAACTACTTTTGGAAGAAAGGTTCTTGAAGAGCTTCTAGAAGTCAAGTTCAAATGATGAGCACATGGCCAGATTGTTAGTTTGAGCCTCAGAAGGTTTACTCTTTTGACAGCAGCTCATGCTATCACATAAGCCATGAGGCTTATCTTGATTCCATTTGAGCACCTTCACCCATATGTGTCCCCCACCTCCTCAGGTACACATCTAAACTTCCAGACAACTACTTTTTAACATCCCCCCTAAACTGGTAATATGATAAACTGGCATGAGTTAAAACATTTGTTAAAGACATGGTGTCGGGTTTATCTAACCAACAATTGGTAGAACATAAATTTAATTAGTGACTAGCTTTAAGCAAATGTTCCTAATACTGAGAACTGCCTGATGATTGAAGAACTTCTGTCACATAACCCAGAGTGATGGGGCCCACAGATGAGTCTTCTATGCAACATATACTCTGTCACACATTCAATGACTTCAGTAATTGGTCAAATATAATTTAGGTAACAGTATGCCTAAGCTATAAAAATCAGATTTTATTAGCCATATCACCAGGTGGATGAATTGTGGAGCTGATGGCAAAGAATTTATAGCATTGAACAACTACACCATTGACACAAGGAATTCCAAATAGCCATTAAATCCCTTCTTGTTTCTTCTCCAAAGGAGAGTAACTGATTTTCTCTGACTGATATTTGCTATATTGATACATTGCTTTCTCCTATGACACGAGCAACAGACAGAACGGATACACAAAAAAGAAATAAAATCTGGTCCTTCTTTGTTTTGAGGATTAAGAATCTAAACAGGGAAGACAGGATTAACACACCTGGAAGCCTAATTGTGTTACAAGAAAATTGATGATGGCTGACACCTAAAGCAATGGGAGTAGAGATTCAGCAGTGGTTGGGGTGGGTAGGAGTGGATGCCCGAGACAGTAGTCAGAATGAGATGTCAAGAAAAGCCTTGCAATAGCATTAGGCCTCAGTCTGCTTTTTTTTTCTATGTGTGTGGGTACATGCATGTGGACACATACAGAAGCCAGCAGACAACGTTGGGTGTCATTTCTGAAACACCTGCCACCTTTTTGTTTGAGACAGAGGCTCTCACTGGTGTGGAATATACCCCAGTAAGTTAGGTGATTTGGGAGGTAATCTCCAGAGACTGTCCTATCTCTGCTTCCCCAGGACTGGGCTTACAAGCACAGTCCACTACGCTAGGTGCATCTCAGTTTGCTGCACATCTACCAACTGAGCCACCTTCCTAGCCCTTCCTTTTCTGGTTTTAAAAGATGGAGTTCTGTGTTTTAGAAACCTGTTAGAAAAAAAAATGTATATTGTTGACAATTCAGTCCCCAAGTCTCTATTGGCTAGGGTCTACCATTGCTCTCTCTTAAGTCGTGCTGCTCCTAGTCAACCCTAGGGTAGCCAAACTGGGAAGAAGCCAGCCAGAGGCTTTGAAACAGGAATGAGCTCTTTTGGACAGAGATGAGCCCACATTTTCTCTGGGACCCACCAACATGGCTACCTGCACAACCAAAATACATCTCTAAAATGAATCTTCTCTTTGTGGCACAGCCTTCCCCACCGCCAAGCAGCGTTGCCCCCTCACTGCTATTTGAATGCTGTCCACTGAATAACAGCTTTAATTGAACAATAAAACTAAGCCTTTTAAATCTACAACCAGTCCCTATAAATAAATTCTCTGTGGAATTTTATGAAGCTGCGTAATGAAAAGTTTGATTAGAAACTATTAAAGAAAAATAAAATAGATGAAATTTCATCATTTAATCCAACATTACCGTAGTGTCTTTTGATTTTTATTTACATTGAGATATTCAGAATCGAGTAAATATATCCTGGTTTTAATTAACTATCCTCCTTACTTGGGAAGGTTATTTTAGGCTTGAAGGGTTTTGATAACATGCCATCTGCTTTCTTCACTGTATTATGCAAGTCCCTTCCTTGCTTACAGTGCTGTGTAATGTCTAAACCTATGACTTGAGCATAAATTGAATTATATTAATGGTGAGCCATTGAAGAGCTTCAGCCTTCCCCCCCCCCCCATCCTGCCCATATTCTCTATCTTGTCAGTCACACTACTCTGCTGGCAGTGTGCTTTCTTAGCACAAGATAATTGACTATTTAAAAAAAGAACTAACACATTGGACTCCCCCATTGAAGCATTATGAAAATTCATTGTATGGCACATGCAATTAGGAAATGAGATTTTAATAACAACGATGGGAGCGTGACATGAATGGCATTTTGTTTTCTTCGTAAAAATCTTGGCCACAAGCATATTTCTTGTTCCCACTGTCCTGTAGCAATCTCCCAACCTGGACATTTTCTCAACAGCTCCACTTCCTTCTCTTACCTGGTTATGTAATGATTTCTGTTTTGTAAAATGCTCTCTAGCATTTATATGATGTGTGCTAGAAAGGAAAACCACACCCACAAACATTTTGTCTGTTCTTTGCAGTTAGAACCGTAAAAGGTCCACCACTTTGTAAGGCACAGTGTTTACAGTAATATCATGCCAATTGATTTCATATGTGTGAAGTGTTGACAAACTAAATTCAAACAGAGACACACAGAGTGCAGCAGAGGAACGGAGAACTTTAAGACACCAGCAGCTCCCATCAGAGAGGTGTAAAGGTATCGCCATTTCTGTAAACACCAAGTCTTTTGAAATAGAGTAGAATTGGATGTCTTTAGATGTGGTTCTCTGTGTGTGTGTGTGTGTGTGTGTGTGTGTGTGTGTGTGTCTGTGTGTTTGCATTGCAGAGACATAGGAAGCAGAAGTCACACTTTTTTTTTTGGCACTCGGGGTGTTTGTGTGTTTGTTGACAAGAGAACAGGGCAGAGTGATGTATGACTTTGGTCAGCCACATACAAAGCAAAGAGATGAGATGGGTTGTCATTAGGTATTTGGTCCTTGCATAGACACCATGCACTCTGGTCTACAGGGAGAAGAACTTGGCTGTTTTTATACATTCCACTGGGGGTGTGCAAAATGTAGTCAAAAAGAGTGCTAACCTCACGTGCAAAGAGATCAAGTGCAAATCCAGGCTCAACCATCTGATTCTCTCAGGCAAATACCGTACAGCCCCTTTTTTGTCCCATCTGTAAAATCAGGCAATCACAGCCATCTTGTCAGGTTCAGAGTAAGTCAGTCCTGTCACTTACACACACACACACACACACACACACACACACACACACACACACACACCAGGAAAGAACGGGTCATTGAGAA